GATGATGTATATCCTTTATGTAATTTTTTTTTAGGTGCCAATCATTTGGGAAGTCAAACAAGTATCAAGCAGGCTTGTAAATTCTTTCCTAATTGAATGCCCTCTGTGGGATGCTTCTTTATTGTCTCCATACCTATGAAGTACTTATGATATCTTATTTATTTATTTTATTTTACATTGAAACTTTCTTTATTTAATATTCTTGCAATGTTATAAAAATAAATGTGGACTACTATGATATTTTTCTATTTTAATAGAAATACATATAAAAGTGTTATCAGTTTGAAAGAGTTTTATTTTTCCGAAGACACCTAGTTAAAAACACATGAAGTATGGCCGAGTTTTTAAAATTTTAGTCCAGCAAAGGTACTTTAACGCCGTCTTTTCTGTATGTTATCACTGTATCTCAGCTGTCACAAAGCCATGTTTGCTGTTCTTGAGTTTATGTGATGAAGTTAAACTTGTTCCTACCCCTTAACTATCATTTATTTAAACATAAACCGCATATCCTACTACTGTTCCTCTGAATAACTTTTTTTTCTTTCATAATTTACAGGCCTTAGCTAAACGCATTTTTCAGTCCCATATTGTGAGTCAGAGGAGTGTTCAAGAAAAATCAGAAAAATCACGGAGGCGAAGCTCTTCTACTGCTGACAATCACAATCGAAGAAGGGATCACAGAAATAGTGGAAAGCATGAACAGCAAGATCTGAGAGAAACCATTCGCAAGGAGCGTCAGAAAGAGAGGGAACATGGTAGAGATCGAGACCGCGAACAGCGACGCTCAAGAGACCAAAATCATTCTCGAAAATCGCAAACAAGTGCTGTTCGCCCATCTTTGTCTGAAAATGATGAAAATGGAACTGATCCTACATTATTGAGTGTGGTACGAGTGAAGCCTCGTCCACACGTACCAGCAGCCATGCAGGCTAATCGTTCCCTCATTCTTAAAGCTGTTGCTGAAGCTCAAAAGTCAGTATCTAAGGTGGTTGTTCGATCTGAATTGTCTAATATCAAAGTTTCTCCCAAACAAGTCAAGAAAAATGTAAAAGATAGGTTACAATTACAAAGCCAGTCCTCATCAAATGTAAGTAATATTGCTTAGCAATCAATATGATATCATACATTTGATTCTCTCCTCATGATTATATTATTACAAATTTGTACTTTCTTTGATTTCCCAAATTGAAGAATGAAGCGTTACCTTTAAAACAGCTGGCTCGATTGCCATCTCGAGAAAAATTGAAGAGAATGTCATTCACAGTGGTTGGAAAGAAAGCTGCCCCATCGAAAGAATCATTAGTAGCAGGTATTTCGAGTTGTTGCACTCTATTATTTTAGCGTCTTATTAATGTGGTAAATGTCAAGTGACAATCACATCATCTTTTATTTATTTACAGAGTTCGGGGATGGAAGTGATGACGAAGGCTCAATTATTTTGGATCCCTCTTTGAACATTCTCATCCAGGTACCTGCCTCTCCTGGTAAGCTCACCTTTTTATTGCGTTTTCTGCTAAGAGAGTCCTAGTTTTTTCCCTTATACTTCAAAATGCTTGAATTATAGCTGGTGAAGAATCTCAAGAGTCATCAGACCCTATACAAACAGATAAAGTTCGGAGATGGATCAAAGATGTTGAAGAAGCCACAAAATTTGAAACTGCACTCCCTGATGTCCACTCAGAACAAGGCACTGATACTGGAGCAGATGCAGAAACAGAGCTAGAAACTGTATCCAAACATGCCAGTGAAATAGACCCCGATGACTTAGATGATGCTCTAGATGTTGATACTACTTCTTTGAAAACCTCTGATATTCATAGTGGCGCTGTCTCAGAAAATCAACCTATTCAAAGGTAGGCCTTTTTTTTAGATAATACTGTATGTATTTGGTTGGAGCAAAATATTTTAAATAAATACCATGTTCCAGAAAACCAACGAAGACACAATTTGTTGTCACCCTTGATGGGTTGGATCCAATGCTACTACGGTCCTTTGCTTTAGAAACTGAAGGGAAAGATGGCTTAAGCAAACCTCAAACTCAGGTCGGTCCTGGTGATAGAAGTGAGGAAGATGAAGATGAAGATGAAGAAACTCTCAGAAAAGAATTAGTTAAAGAACAACAACTTAGAGAGGAGTTGTTAAGACAACAGGCAGCTGTTCGGGAACAGAAGGCAGTTCTTCATCCCGCAATTGCTGCACCTATTCCCTCTTCCTTGAACCCAGCAATGAAGAGACCTGTTTCTCCCAGCAGCTCTGTGGAAGTTCGTCCCTCAAAAGGTTAAATTTTCTCTCATCTTGCTCACTGATAAAAAGTCTGTTACTGTTCTGTAAAAAAGTGATGTTTTCACAAACAAATCTTTCTTTTCTTAATCAGTTATTTCAGCTGGAAGCAAGAGTTCAAGCCTTGAACGCTGTAAGTTCTGGCCAGCTTGTAAAAATGGGGACAAGTGTGAATTTCTTCATCCAAGCACAACATGCAAGTAAGACACCAAGAATTGCTTAAATGAAAAGTTACTAACGAAAACATTCATACTAAAACTGAAAATGTTGTTCTTCTCTTTTCTTGATTTTATATAGGTTGTTTCCAAACTGTAAATTTGGTGAGCGCTGCCTGTATATTCATCCTACCTGTCGCTTCAACTCTGCTTGCACTAGAAGTGACTGTCCATATACTCATACTGGCCCAAGGGCTACTCACAGTTCACAGCTCACACCTCCTGTTGGTAGGTGCCTTATTCTTTACCTGTAATATTATCATGAATATTGTGTATGAAGATGATGTATATCCTTTATGTAATTTTTTTTTAGGTGCCAATCATTTGGGAAGTCAAACAAGTATCAAGCAGGCTTGTAAATTCTTTCCTAATTGCAGTAATATAAGCTGTCCCTTCATTCACCCTACGGTAAGAAAAATGCCTTTGTTCTTTAGTGCTAATTTTTACAAACGGATTAAATATTTTCTCAGTCTGTAGGGTTGTGTATTAATCTGGTTAAACTCTAATTTGCTCATTCCTAGGTTTGCAAATTTGGAACACATTGCACCAAGCCCAAATGCCCCTTCATACATAGTGACAAAGGATTAATCACTAAACATAAATGGGTTCGTCATTAAAGACTGACTATTTAGATCATATGTACATTGGATGTTGTTGTTAGATTGGTCGTACAGTAGTAAATTTTGTTGGTTTTAGAGGATTTAGTTAAAGAAAAACCTCACAGAAATTTATTTGTGTTGAATTTTATGTTCCTTTCTTATTTAAAACATGGTGAAGGCTTGGTTAGAGTGGTAAAAACCTTCACTTCATCTTAAAAGCAAGACTACAAGGGCCCTTACATCAAAGGGTGTCCTATCAGCTCAGAAAGAATTGAACCTCTCTGACGTCTGAATTGCAAGCAGAAAGAGTTCAATTCTTTCTGTGCTGATAGTACCTAAGTTCTCATGATTATTTTGTCAATTTAAAAAGATTTAATATAAGGCTCATGTTATTCCAAAAAATTGGGTCCGGAGTGTTTCCGGAGTTAACATAAGCCGTCTATCATAAGGTCACTCATAAGGGGCTGTAAGATAGATTTTTTTGTTAAATCAAGAAACGGCCATTGTAGTAGTAGCTTTATAACTGTAGTACTTTATTTTGCAAACCACTGAACTGTGTTGATTCAAGAAAGAGATGAAGTATTGTTGTTGACAGTTTCTCCTTAACTGTTTTGGTATCAGGTAACTTACAAAATTACACTTTGTTATCTTTAACAAAAATTGTTTGAAAAAGTTTCATCAAGTAGCCATCCAACCAATCAGCCAGTTCCATTTCTCTATTTTCAGTGTGCCGGAATCTATTAATTGAATGTGTTGTCTAAGTTTACTTGTATTAAATCAATAATTTAAATGTGGCTATCTGCTGAATCTCTACTTTTGTTTTACAATTGTTTAAATTGAATCAGTATGTGTCAGGATTTTTTGTTAACATCTGACCTTGTTCACTACAAGTAAAGAATGATATTGAGATCCCTAAAGAAATGGTGTCTACAATATTGCCACAAACCTAATTTCTCCATTATATTTACCTTCAGTATTGGACCCGCAATCATTTGTGTACTTCTGTCTCGGACATTACCTAAATATCTCTGACCTAAACTGCTTTAAGGCTTTCAAGATAAATGTGTGACTGTTCTTTCTCTTTTCTGTGCAAGAACTATATTTTCTCTAAATGGAGTGCTGTATGTTTCTGAGCCTCAGTTATTTCTTTATTGTATAAGAAATCTCTATTAGTTATCTACTAGTATGAACCGCATAATAGATTGCTTTTCATGAGGTATTTTTATATGTCTAATGAACTCTGGTGTGAGGTCAATCTAACTGCCACCGTTTTCAATAAGCTATTCTAGAAGACATGAGACCTTGATCATCATCATGCGTCATTGAGCTTTCTCCAATCCAAAGATTCATATTTTCAGTCACAATCTGTAAACATGCATGACGTCAACCGAACACTGTATTTAAACGATCATACCATGAATTTTCTGTTTTGTTTCCTGCTATTATTTCATGAACTAGCAGAAGCAGGAAAGAAAAAAAATCCAAAATTCTTACTTGGGTTAACCGTATTTGTATTAAACATCATTCAACAACACACATCAAGCATCTCTTTCATTTGCCTTTTGAACCTCTTTTATTGTAGTTTTACAGACCAGAGCATAGCAGGAATACGGGATTCAAACCTGAGCACACATGGTTTGACTGAAGTCCAACAAAACAAACTTATATAGAACTGCAATTATGTATCCTTCATAACCTCTGTATACTTCCCAAGATCCAAGATTCTCAGGCTATGTCTACATAGTCTACAATCTGTCTCATTTTGTAGTCTGCATGTTATAGTACAAAACAGAGTGATCAATTCAGAGGTAACTTCTTAAGTTAAGACTCTACTAAGTTACAAAATTGCCTGTGTGTATTTTAGACACACATGTATTTTAACAGATTGGATTCACAATCAAACCTTACAAAAGATATTTCACAATTGGAGTTTTAAATTTTAAATTTTATTTTTTTTTTTTCATTAAAAAAAATCTTTACAATGGAATGTTATTAAGGTGAGTTGAATGTCTGATGATAGATGTCATAATGTCACAGGATTGTACAAGCCTTTGACTGAAACAAAAATAAATTTGAAAAACATCACAAAACAGTATAAGAGGAAGTAGGGAAAGACACAAAAAAGAGAGAAAGGTGTTATGTCATAATATAAGATAGATAAGCAAAGAGACCAGCAGACTAAAACATTTCAAATAATTAATTTGAGTAAAAAGCTCTTACCCTGTGCACCTGACCAGATTTGATTTGAGATTGAGAACTTTTCCCATTTTTGAGATTGTTTTCACTTGATATTCCTGAAAAAGGTGTCATAAGAACCTATTTGACCTAAAAGCAAATCAAATACAGTGGATTGATTGTACTCACTCCTATTGTCATCGGTCCAAGCTTTGTTTACAGAAACATTTTCCTCGGATAACTTTTTACGACGAAAAGCATTGAAGAATTTTGCCATTTTCCCCTCTCCTGTAAATTATTGTTTCATTAAATCACTACCAACAGTAGGTATTTACAACCAAATAAGTGATTACAAGACAGTTTTACCCTTGTCAATGTTGGCCATTATATTTGGCTTGCTTATAGATTTATCTTCCCCTGTTACAGTTACCTCTTCATTGTCCAAGTCAACACCATCCTTTTAAAACAAAAAAAAACAAAACTGTTGATTTTTTAAATTTGTTTTAAGTTACTTTTTAACATGAAAATGTTACTGACTGTTCCAGTTACAGTTAAAGTTGGTGTTACATCCACAGAACATCTTCTTCCCTCTAAAGTTTTTATGTATTCTTCGTCATTTTCTGCTTCTACAGTCCTTGGTGTATCAGAGTTCTCCTCAACTTCTTCCTCATCTCTTTCATTCAAACTATCATGGTAATCATTTGTGAGATCACTTGCATCCCGAAGATTAAATTTAGAAAATAAATCATTTCTGCTATCTGTTGCTAAAGTCTCATCAGTATTGGACAGTTCTGCATTCTGTTGATCTGAAACCAATTGTATAACTCTAGCGCAGATAATGTTATAGAAAAAGTAATAGTTATCCCTAAAGACAAAACATGAATGGTCGAAACAATAAAATAACTACCCACCTGCTGACATTTTATGGTTACCATTTACAACAGTCACAAAGTCTTTTTGAGATGTTAAAGGCTGTTCCTCCTCATCATCAAGTGATCTGTTACCATTATTCAACCGAGAGGTTTCTACATTCTGTTCCATTGCTTGTGAGCCTTGGTCAGATCTTCCGTATTCTTTCTCTGCCACCTCCCGAGCTTCTCTGACTACAGTTGACTGAGTTGTTTCAATTGCAGTTTCGGTTGCCAAATTTTGGGGCATATCAATTTCCCTCTTAGATGTTTTCTCTGGAAAACCATTGAGAGCAGGTGCATTTTGAAGAGGAGGAAGCACTCGATTTTGTCCTTCCTGCCAGAAAACAAAAACAAACCATGCTTCAAGAATAAAATAAAAACAAGAATAAACATTCAGTAGGTTCTGAAGTAAATGAAACACATGATGTCAAAATTATATCAAAGCAGGTTAGCAAAATGACAAAATGTTACACCTGACATCACTTATTGATGTCATTTTTATGAAACTGCAGTTTGGGACTGATTCTCCCCAAACCATAATACTTGAAGTACGTTAGTATTGGTAAAGAATGTGTAAAAACAATTATAACTGTGGCAGCTAGTTCATAACTTCACTTACAGGCAAAGCGGAAGTCTTCTCATTATCATTTGACTCTGCATTCTGCAACCTTAGTGATACATCTCCATTGACTGGTCTGTCAGAATCACCTTTTGAAGCATCAACCTCAAGAACTGCTTGTACCATTGTATGGCAACCGCCACAGGCAACCTAATTAATTACAAAGCAAAACAAATTATTGTTTCATGCGCAATATTGATGGTACAATCCAAAACAATTATTGGAACAAAAGAAATTTACCTGCTTCACTCTGTATTGAGAAAATCTTGATACAAACTGTGGCGTACATTGAACTGTTCCATCATCTCCATTTTCTATATCAACACACAATTTTCCATGGCGACCATCTCCACAAGCATACATATGACCTTCCACTATAATTTAAAAACATTGTTTGCTTTTAGAATACTGAATTGATTCTCCCGCCATTGAAAAATAAACCTACTATATTAAACAACAATTCAAACTAAAAACAGTTTGTGAATTTCACCTGTAAGAAATGCTGAATGAATTTCACCACAAGCAGCAGCACAAACATGTTTCCCGAGTAATGTTTCAATACACTCAGGGACAGAAAAAGATAAAACTTCTCTACCAAGACCCAACTGGCCACTTAAATTTGAACCAAATCCATACACGTCACCGTCCACTGGGAATGAAATTCATGAACATTATAACTAGAATGGTTTAAGTATTGTACATCAAAATGAAGCATTAGATTCTTACTTGATACAGCAATTGTATGATTTCCTCCGCAAGCCACAGACCTGATGGGTACATTAATATTGACAGGAGTTGGAACAAAAATATTTCTATTCTCTCTTGACAGACCTAGTTTTCCATTTTCTCCTTCTCCACACATAAGAAGCTTTCCATCCTCTTAAAAGAAAACATAATAATAATACTAATAAAGATAATAATAATAATAATAATTTCCGTTCTCTAAAATGTCATTATTATTAAAAATTATGATTGAGAATTATAAGGATAAGTAAAATAAGGGAGGAAGCAGCTTACCAGTAACTAGAGCGGTGTGGTAGTAACCACAGCTTATATAGGCTATTGTGTGGGGAATGTCAATACGTTTTGGTGTATCTACAACTGTAACAGAGTCTCCCAGCCCCAGTTGCCCGTCAGCGTTACTACCCCACACATAAACACCTCCGTCAACTAGGAGAAGAGAAACAACATTTAATCACTAGTTTATTTAACCATTTCTGTTAATGAGAGCTTTGGTATTTGGTGTGGTACCCGTGAGCACGGCCGAGTGTTGGCAGCCGGCCGCCAGCATGCGCACGCCGTCCTCGCCCGTGAACAGCCCCGGCACCTCCTCCGGGCTGACCCGCTCCTCCGTGTCGCCCACGCCGAGCTGGCAGTCCATGTTGCTGCCGAAGGCGAACACCTTCCCTGAAACTGGTGAGAAAATGCTGCTCCAACTGTACGGCAAGATAGGGTAAGATGCCCAATGATGGACACCTTAAGAGATGGACTGCCCAGTGATGGATACCCCTTTTTTCTCGGAATGTACAGAACAGAGCGAGGTGGTTTGGCTTAGGCCTATTACCCCGGTAGGGGTCTTACTAGAACACGAGTTCCGAGCCAAGATCGTACAGTGATGAGTTTGGCTGCAAATCGAGAAAAGTGGCCATCACTGGTACAGTGTCCATCACTGGGCACCTTACCCTACGTCAGTTTTAAATATGCGAGATATTCTGTTATAAGTTTTAAACTGCAAGGCTTTCTAAGCAGCTGTCTCTTGGACTGTCCGTCAGTTTTGAACCGAGAGACTAGAAAGTCAGTTCAAACTGGCGGACTTTATTCTCGCACTTATAAGGTGCCTTCACAACGAACGCTTCCCGAGGCGGCGCTAATGATGACGCCTGCGGCGCGCCGGGTAGGCCGACCCGCAGAGCAGCCGCGTGGAGACGGCGGCCCACCCCGCGTGCCACAGGGGCGCGCAGCGCCAACTTGCGCCAACTCCCTGGCCTTAAGCTAGAGGACCCCAAAATCAAAGCATCAACCAATCAGCCCTTCATCAACGCATCACCTTTTCACCGGTTAATTAATATAAGAAAATACTGTAAGGCCTACGGGCAATAGCACACCAACCTATGTAAAACCCAAATGTATTTTAATTTGACATCAATAAGACCATTTGAAAACTGAAAAAAAATGCGACAACTCGTGCCACCTCGTGGACAGTGGAACGGAACGTTCGTTGTGGGAAAATGGAAGCAATTACTCTTGACGTTGAACCTACATGTGCTGATTATGGTGTGTGATTTCCCACAAGCGACGTGAGTGGCCTTCTCCGGCTTCAAACCTGTCAATGGAATGATTCATGTTATTCTCCGAGCGATGTGGCACAGTTTACATTGGATTGAATGTGACGTCACAGTGTTTGAATAACACTGTGTCACACTATCGGCTTACTCTTCACGCAGCTCGGCATGGTAGCGGTGTTCTTGTGCCCCAGTCCCAGCTGGCCCCAACTGTTGTTGCCGAACGCGAACACGCGCCCATTTTCTGAAACACGCAACAAATGTACTGTTAAGAGACGAGGAGGACGTCAAATCAAATATCCGATTCCGAAGCCTACTCCTCCAGTCAGTGACCGAAGAAGGCGTCTGTCTGTCTGTCTGTCTGTCTGTCTGTCTGTCTGTCTGTCTGTCTGTCTGTCTGTCTGTCTGTCTGTCTGTCTGTCTGTCTGTCTGTGCCCATGTTCTTTCAAGGCGGTCGCCGTCCACCAGGCGACCGAGCTGGCGAGCTGGGCTCGGTAATGGCACTGCGGAGTCTGATGGTGGTGATTATCATTTCGACATCGTCATAAAAATAAATCATGATGATGATTGTTGTCATCATCATCGTCACTATTATTAGCCGCGAGGGCTTCGAGCAAGCCAAAGTTGATGCGAGCGGAAAGGGGGACCCGATGCAAGCAGCGTGCGGGCCAAGGGCAAAACCTCGGACGAAACGCAGCCGCCATGGCAGAATCGAAGCGACGTCGGTAAGAAAAGAGTAACTAACGCAATTTCTCGCAGGAAACGCCAGCGCCATGCGCCATGCTAAAATGAATGGGCGCGGGAGGGGGAGTGGCTGCGGTGATTGAGCGGCCCGCGCCGCCCGCGCTAGGCTAGCAGCCCCGGCTAGCACAACGCCGAAACCGCCGGGAGGGACGGAGACGGCAACCACAAACCGTCTTGTTCTTTTCAAAAAGTGTAAGCCACTTTTTTTTGCACCCCATGGAAAAAAAATGGCTTGTTCAGTCGTTTACTACAGCTTGTAGTTTCGATCGTCGCGGGTGGGGTGGACCGTGCGGTTGGCGCGAGGGCTGCGGAGGCGCAGGCGCACACCACGACAAACAGGGGCCGAAAAAAAAGGCAAAAGGCAAAATAGGGAAAAAAGTAAAAATTATAAGAAAGCATCGCTGGCCACACCGCACCGAAAGACAACGGCATGAGGTGAGGCGCCACCTACGTCTTTTAAATGCAACACCCGTTACGTAGTATAATTTGTGTCTCATCAGTATTGTCGGGTTCGGACCGGTTCGGAGCCCCCACTCATATTTTTGTTTTGTGGTGTCCGGTTCGGGGTGTCCGGGCCGGCGGGACTGACCTACTTCACTTCGGCCAACGCGTGCTCAGCCCGATCAATCGCGGACCCGGTGGGGCGCCTCGATGCACTGCGCACGGGCGCACTTCCGTGCACATACGTACGCCAGCACCGAGTGGTGCTGGGTGCAGGGTGCAAAGGACAGAGCTGCTGAGTGGTCGGGACGGACGTGGCTCATGGTGGAGTGCGCGTCATTACCTGGGCTGCGGCGAAGGGGGTACGTATAGGAATAGTTGGGAATAGCGAGGGAGAGGAGGCGTGTTACAGTGAGATATTGAGGTGTGTGTGTTTGGGAGGGAGGGA